ATCCTAGGTCTGAAAACTAATACATATACTTAGAATGTTAATTAAGGAATACTTTCTTATCAATTATGTTTATTAAACTAAAAGATCACAACCCTCTCTTTTTTAATCAGGTGCATTGTCTTCCATGGATTCTGTAGACAGAGGTAGGGACACTTCCTCTGTTCCCTCCATGACAGATAACAAAGGCGCATGTGTCAGCAGTGACATTGGGACATCCAGATGTCTGCTTGGCTCCTTGTGCCAGTCATATCCCCAGAAAAATTTGGGATCAGGATTTTATTTCTAAGAAGGTCAAGGCTGTTGAATTAGGACAGCTGTAACACTAGATACTGAAGTCTTTTAATTGAATAAACATAATTGACATGTGAAGTGGAGTCAAGATTCTTCCCATGAGTTTGGGATGAGGTGGGAGGAGGAGACTCATGGGAAGAAAGGAAGCAGGGCAGGAAGAAGCTGAAGTTTAGGCTCTGCATGGAATCTTGACTCCACTCACTTCTGTCATTGTGTAACCTTTCAATGTTGGTTCTGACATCAGTAAACTTGAGGAGAGGTTATGCCGTAAGCGTAGGGCTGAGGAAGGGTTATTATAAATATCTGGTCAAGGTTGTGCCTATAAAACATTCACCAAAGACTCTGAATATATTAAGGTCTCATAAGTAGTGTTTTGCATAATCTAGTGATACATGGTGGATGGCATTCCTCCTGTGGACAGCAGGAGGCACTGTGGGTGTATGTTTTGGGGACCCTAATAACTCCAAGTCCCCCAGTAGAGCTCACATGCAAAGGGTGTGACTGATGTTTCCTTTCAGGTCCCGTCTTTTGAGTACAATCCACTCTCCACTCCTGACACCAACTCGGCCCTTCTTGTGACCTCGAGAAATGACTACCCTGAGGCCATCAGCCCCAGAGCTCAACTATGAGCTCAGACAGACATGCTGGGGAATAGAGAATAGATTTGGATTCAATGTTCCTCCCTTCTTGAGCTTCAAGAAGAGGATAAGATAGGAGCTGGTTGTGTCCAGGCTACACTGGGCAGCCACGGTCAGAGCTCTCAGAAGTGCCTCCCATCATGGCCTGTGTCTCCTTCTACCTCCTGCCCTTCATTTTCCCCACAGGTCGGAGCATCCAGGCAACTCAGGGAAACCCTTTCACTGTTATTTCCCCACTAGCACTGATCCTCAGGGGCATTCTTTCCAGTTCTCCTGTGCATTCAGCATCATTCATGAACTTCTATGTTTCCAGGTCTCTGTGCTCTGTCTGTGCTGACCCAGCCCCCGTCTGCATCTGCCTTGCTGTCAGCCTCGGCCAAGCTCACCTGCACCCTCAGCAGTGAGCACAGCACCTACACCACTGAACGGTATCAACAGAGACCAGGGAGGTCCCCCTCCTCCCAGTGTATAACGAAAGTTAAGAGTGATGGCAGCCACAGCAAGGGGAACGGGATCCCCAATCACTTATTGGGCTCCAGCTCTGGGGCTGAATGCTACTTAATTATCTTCAACCTCCAATCTGAGGATGAGGCCGAATATCACTGTGGAGACAGCCACATGTTTGATGGTGAGAATGGGTGAGCCACAGTGACACAGACAAAGAAGTGAGGCCAAAACATACCCCTCCCCTTCCTCCTCAAGGACTCAGAGTGAGAAGCCCTATGTCCTCTTACTGGCCCTGAGAATGTTGACTCTTCCCCTTGCAAATCTCATCATCCCACATGTCCTCCCTCAAGACACCCCTAGGCAGAGGCAGATGCAGGCCATGATTGAGGCCATTTTGATAACTCATCATTCTGTTTCAGCACTTTGGGAGACTGAGGCAGGAGTATTGATTGAGCACAGGAGTTTGAGGCTGTGAGGTATGCATATATGTGTATATATCGAGACAGAGAGAAAGAAACTTAAAAGAAGAAATTGGTTCATAGGATTGTCATGTCTGACAAGGATAAAAATCTCTTGGGTAGGCCGGAGGCTGGAAATTCAGGTAAGAGTTGATGTTGCAGTCCTGAACCTGAATTCAGCAAGACAGGATTTAAGAAATCCTCAGTGTTTGCTCTAAACACTTTCCTTTTTTTCTTTTTCTTTTTTTTTTTTTTTTGAGACAGAGTTTCACTCTGTCACCCAGGCTGGGTCACAGCAATGAGATTTCAGCTCACTGCAATCGCTGCCTCCCAGCTTCAGGCGATTCTTGTTCCTCATCCTCCCAGGTAGCTGGGATTACAGGTGTGCGCCATCACACCCATCTAATTTTTGTATTTTTATTAGAGACCAAGTTTCTCCATGATGGCCAGGCTGGTCTTGAACTCCTGGCCTCAAGTGATCCTCCTGCCTCCTTGGCCTCCCAGAGTGCTGGGATTACAGGTGTGAGCCACCAGGCCTGGCCTGCTGTATACACTTTCTACTCATGAATGAGGCCCACCACATTGTGATGAGTAATCTGTTTATACAAAGTCTACTGAGTTAAATGTGAGTCACATCTGGAGAGTATCTTCACATAAACTTCTATATTTGTAGTGGACAAAATCAACCTGGAACCACATCCTAGTCAATGTGCCACTTAAAATTAACCATCACTTAAGCCAGCATGAAGATAGAAAGGAATCATTTTTTTAAAAAAATCAAAAACAGAGACAGAGAAGGGGAAAGAAAAACAAGGAACATATCCATTGATTGTATTTTTTTTGAAAAGTCATTTTTAGAAACTTTTCAAAAAAAAAAAAATCCAAAAAGACACAGAAAGAATCTGTTAGTCAAAGATAGAATAAGTGAATCTCAGCGAGTGGACACAGGTTGGTGGTTGGTGGAGTCCTGTCCATCTCTGGGGGCATTTTCTAGTGTGGGAATGCATGTTCCCAGATATATTAGCAGGATACTCACAATTTTCTCAAAACGACAGACAAGGATAGTGTGGAAATCCTCCCACCACAAATTGTGAACAGTGTATGATGAAAAAAATAATAATAGTCATAGAAAAAGATGGCGATGATGATGACAATGACTTAAGTACACAACTAAGGTTTAGTGATAGAAAAATCAGGTGTTCTCAAATTCAACGCAGCTTTTCTTATAGAAAGGGGGCATCAGTCTTAGTTCCCATATATTTAGGAATTGAGGGTCCCCATGAGGGGTCACTGCATTTCTCTGGACGTTCATCTTTATCACAGAAGAGCTACAGCTTACCCTGCAGTCTTCAGTCTGCAATCAAAAACCATGGACCAAAGAACATTTCAGCACAAGACTCCATTATGGGAATTGCACCTCCCCACCTTCCTGAAACCATATACACGACCTTTCTGTGCTGACCTGAGAAAACCACAGTGGATCACAATGGCTCAAAGTGAGGCTGGACTCCTTTGTCCCCACCCTCCCAGGTGGCAGGTACTGTGGGTCACCAGGAGGAGAAAAGTTCTCCTGGGCTCGGTCTCGTCCACCAGCAGGGGGCAGCAGAGCTGCAGCCAGGAGCAGCCGGGACAGAGACTGGGGCTGCCCCAGTGGAGCTTAGGGGTAGGCAGCCCTGGGAGGTCTACAAGTGTCCAAGGTTCGGTCCCAGGATTGGAAGTCAAGACAGTCTATCCTATTGCTTCTGGCTACAGTGACTATGTTCTGAGGGTCAGACTCACACAGCATCACCCAGGACACTGACAGAAGCCAGGGCACAATGAGAGCCTCGCCTGAGAAATGCAGCTGCAGGTTCCTGGGCCCAGGTGTCAGCCTGGGCAGCTCCCACAGTGCTGGGATTCCCTGGAAGATGCTCCAAGGTCCAGGTGCTCTAGGAGGGGGCCCAGCGTGAGAGGATGGGGCTCCCAGGGCTCGAGTCCTTCACCCAGGATGGCCATCTGAGCCTCCTGCTACTCTCAGGGCCTTGCCCCTCCCTCTCCAGCAGTGTCCTGGGGAGGTGAACCCTCTGTCCTGGGCACTTCCGGGGACGCCCGATCCCTCCTCCCTCTGCCTCTCCTTCCAGGTCCAGGCTGACTCTGACTCAGGGGGCAGCCCCTGCGCTCAGCGGAGTCTCAGGTGGGTGGGGTGGTACGCTCAGGCCCCTGGTTTCTGGATGGGGCATCCCCAGCCTCCTGGAGGAGATGCTTTCCAGAGGGAAGGGGATTCTCACCTGCCTCAAGCCACAGCTCTGACCACGAGGCTGTCCTTGGCTCAGTGACAGAGTCTGCCGCATTGCAGAGACCAGGCACCACCCATCATCCAGAACTCACACTCTGTGCAAAGGCCATGTCCCTGGGATGTTTGCAGAGACCACTGGGCCTAAAGCTGAATTTCCCGTCAATATTTCATGTAAACTTGTAAAAAGCACCAGAAAACCACACTGGACTGAGAACCCCGATGATTTTCTGGTGCCTTTTACAAGTTTACATAAAATAATCATAGAAATAAATAAATAAATAAAATAATGGAAGAGCTGAGAATGGCAATGGCTGGTCTATGTGAGGATGGGGAATGGCCTAGAAGGAGCAGCACCATGGCTGAAATGAGAGCAGATGTGCCGATGATGCCACAAGGGTGTGTGGTTGCTTAAATGACCCATCTGCTCCTACTGAAATAATTAACAAGTATCCTGACGACACAGTACATTATTTAGATGAAATGACCAGGATGGGACTAAGCAATTCTGGGGGACCCAGAGAGGAGCTGAAGGAGGAGGAATATATGGTGGTTCTCTGGTCCACCTGTTGCTGAGTCAGGCGTCATCAATGATCTCTCAGCAGGGCCCAACTCAGCCCCATGCCAGGTTCCTAGAAGGCCCGCAGCCCTGCTGAGCGTGGCCCAGGACAGACCACAGGTCAGAGAGGTTTGGGACAGTGGTCATATGGCCAGTCCCCAGGAAGATGACTGTGATCACAGGCCTCAGAGGTCGAGGATAATTTTCTGACCAAAGACCCAACTTCTTCTTCAGTCACCTGTGCTGCCCCCACAGCTAGTTTGAGTGACATCTTTCAATGAGGAGTCCCAGAAGATAGAAATTTGCATGAACAACAAGCACTTACTGCCCCATAGGGCGTGGGAAGGAATAAGAGAAGCCTAGGGAGCCCAGCTGTGCTGTGGGCTCAGGAGGCAGAGCTCTGGGTGTCTCACCATGGCCTGGATTCCTCTCCTACTCCCCCTCCTCACTTTCTGCACAGGTGCTGCTCCTAGGCCGTGACCCAGGCTCAGTCCCCATAGACCCCAAGTTGGCCCTGCTTTGAACCCTGTGCTAAGCCCAGACACAGCCTCAGGGTGGGACCCCTGGGAATGGGCTCTTCATCTTCAAGCCCCCTCTCCTGTTTTCCTTGCAGGCCCTGCAGCCTCCTATGAGCTGACACAGCCACCCTCGGTGTCAGTGTCCCCAGGACAGACGGCCAGGATCACCTGCTCTGGAGATGCATTGCCAGAAAAATATGCTTATTGGTACCAGCAGAAGCCAGGCCAGTCCCCTGTGCTGATCATCTATGAGGACAGCAAACGGCCCTCTGGGATCCCTGAGAGATTCTCTGGCTCCAGCTCAGGGACAGTGGCCACCTTGACTATCAGTGGGGCCCAGGTGGAGGATGAAGCTGACTACTACTGTTACTCAGCAGATAGCAGTGGTAATCAGCACAGTGACACTGGCAGATGGGGAAGTGAGACATAAACCCCTTCTTCATCTATTTTATCCTCTCCCTCCAGCCCCAGGATGGCTGTGGACCAAGCCATAAGCAGGTCTGGCAGAGTTCACCTGGCTAGGAGATCCCTAAGCTGCCTTTCCCTCCACTTCTCTGAGCAGACTTTACAGGAATGAGTCATGAGTGGATTTGGGCCTGGCAGGGCCAGACTGTCCTGTGTTTCCTTGCCCATGGTTTGAGTTGTGAATGGAGAGTATGAGTGGAAAGGCAGACATAGCGGGACATCCATGCAGGCATGAAAACCCCATAGTGACAGGGGAAACTTTTAGCTCTCAGTTCAATGCAGTTGTTGTTTTACTCTTGGAAGAAGCATTTCTCCAGCGCAACTACGACTCTAGACTCACACAGCCTGAGGTTGTTGGGGAGGACATTAAATTTTGCTAATGGATCACTAAGGATGTTTTTGAGTGGAGCCACTACAATTTCTTCCTTGATATCTGGACTCATGGATCCTGACTGTGGGAGAAATAGTGCATACTGGGCACTGCTGTACAGTGCCTGCCCCGTCCTCAGACATTGCCCAACTCTACATGTTTTTGCCATCCTGCTGCCACAGTAACTTAGTCTTCAAGCAGACACTAAGCCATTCATATAAGCCAGATGCCACAGAATATTGGTGAAGATGGTAAGACACTTGAATGCCATGAGGATGGGCCCGTGGTTGCTGTTTATTTGCTGTGATTTGAGTTCCTTGGTCAAAGCCCCCTGTGGAATGCCATCATGGTGGGTGAAGCATTCTGTAATCTAGAGATAAAAGGTTTGGCAGAAGCATTGCAGTTAAAGAAATCAAATCCCTATCTATACTAAGTGTCTATTCTGGCAAGAGCAAAGAGCTATCCCTGCCATGATGGAACAGCTTTAATGAAATTAATATCAACTGGCATCCTATAGGGATCTTCCTGTTGATCTTTGCTGTTGGCAGATGGTCACTCAGCAGTAGCTACAGCCAGGTCAGCTCTAGTGAGTGGTAGTCCACTTTGATGAGCCCATGGACAGCCTCCTTTTCTGCAACCATGGGGCATTTGTTATTGAGCCAATTGGGCAATGACAGTAGTGGTTGGGGCAGACTGCCAGGTGTCTGCAGAGTCACCCATCCTACCAACCTGGTTAGCAAAATCAATTCCTTCTCATGTTAAGACTTTACAAAATATTCACATAGGAGATGAATACCCTCATGCTTTCTGCTTGCTCACACATCTCTCCCTCAGACATAGTTGTGATCAATATTCTGATTGTATTTCCTGTGTCCCTGAACATCTTTGATCATCTTCCAAGTCCCCGAGTCACAGCCCATGAATTAGGAACCTCTGCCCATCTCTCTTTGCAGATGACATGAACCAGGTACACTGCTCTAAGTTCTGCCTTAAGGAGAGTGTTCCTCCACCACTGCTGTTCAGGAAGCCCAGAGGCCAGGTGGGATACTAGCACTGTCCACAGCAGGGATGGCTGTCTGTCCGTCCTGCAGAAACCTCTGTATCCTGAGCCTGAGTACCTCTTCTTAGGCAGCTGGTCCTAGGGAGCCCCTCAGGAGGCCCGGGCTGTAAGGTGAGAGGATGGCCATGGGGCAGGAATTGGGCCACGTCTATTTGGCCACCTCTTCATGCAACTTATTTGTGTCTTGATCCATCAGGTCTCAGGTACAGCCTGGCCATGTGATGGGGAGGCCACTGCAAATGGCCATCTGGGACTGGGGGTCAGATAATACTCAGCTCATTGGCAGCTTGTGTCCTATGGTGAGCTCTGTGGCCACAGTCATGAAGAGCCCCTGCTGAGGCCCAGGAGCCCCCACAGTCTTTCTCTGATGGAGCTTTCTGCTCATTTAGAAAAATAGCAATGAGGAGGTTGCTCACCTACCTCAGGTCTAGGGACATTAGGACCACCTAGACCACATCCATGATCTTGTCTGATTATTCTGATCCCTTGTAGGCTCAGCTATGCATTAGTGTAACCAAGCCACCATGTGTTAGGCACTAAAATGGTACTACTTGGCCCCCGCCTACCCTGGGATCCTGTCAACTGCATCTTGGTACCCAATTCAGTTCTAGCACCACTAAGAGAAATCTATTTTTATATTGAGAACAGGAAACATTAGTTATTTCAATTGTGGAAATGTTATAAGACAATAGTGTAGAAATGTTTTAAAAGACATTTTATGAACAGCGAAAGACCTTCCATTAAACCACTCAATAAATTGCTCCGTAAATGGCCAGCCCAAAACCTGAGTTCAGACCAGGCACCGCCTCGGTGTTGGGACCTTCTGGGAATGGGTCTCTGTCATCAACCCCTCTCTAACCTCCTCTCTGCCCAGCCCTGTGCCTCCTACATGCAGGGACAGCTCCCCTCAGTGTCAGTGGCCCTGGGACAGATGACCACGATCATATGCTCTGGAGATAACCTCAGAATAAACACGCATTTTGGAAAAAGCAGAAGCCAAGCCAGGCCTCAACGATGGTCCTCTAGTATAACAGCAACCAGCCCTCAGAGACCTCTCCTTAATTTTTAGGCCACAAACTAGGGAACATGGCCACCCTATCAGCAGTGCCCAGGCCAGGGACCAAGCTACTACAGTGCCTCAGATTGTGGCAGTGGGGGCAGCTGGCAGGGACTCACAGTGACACAGACAGATGGGGACTTGCAACACAACTGTCCCACCTCGGCCTGGTTCTCATTCTCACCTGCCCTCTGAGCAGCTGTAGGTCAGGCCTCAGGGTCAGGTGTCCTCTCTGGTCCTAACCTGGCCCCTGCAGGGCTGGAGATTTGGAACAGCTTTTCCATACTCTCAGGGCCTACATGTGTTCAATAAAACCTGTACAGGTGGAAGTTCATTAAAAAGCTGCAAGGACCTTTTATGCGTTTGTAGTACACATGAGGACTTTAGGAATCCATATAGTGTCACGTGGCTCCATGTGTAATCACACATCACACAGGGAAGGAGAGAGCTGTTTCACAGGATGCAATCCTGCTGGAATTCCTCTTTTTCTTGGGTAGAAGCAGCTTAGTGGAGACTGTGTCTCCTCTGGTTTCCTAAATGTGTTGACCCCACATTCTAATGGGGCACCTGAGGCCTGAGGAGGACAGGAGACCCAGCCCCTGTGGGCCTCGAGGCCCTTCTTGTCCTGACATTTCACAGAGACTGCAGAGGAAGTGCAGACCCAATCTTGGGTCCCACCTGGGGACTGTCTTCAGGGAACACTGATCTTTCACAGTCTCCAAGTTCCCAGCACCTGCCCCCGTAGGTCTGACCTGACTGGGTGTGTCTCCAGCTCCCTAAGAGCTTGGATTTTATCTTTGGAGTCTGGGCTGCCTTCTGAGGCACTCACTAAGAAATCCTTGGTTCCAAGTGCAGGACTTGCCCTTCTGCTCCATGTCCCAGGGCTGCAGGCACAAGGCGCAGGTCCTACAGGGTGAGGCTGGCACCCTCTTTCAGGAGGGATCTCTCATCCCAGGTCCCAGGGCCAGGTTCACTGGGCTTTCTTTCCTCACTCGGAATCTCCCAGTCTTTTTGTTTCCTTCTTTGAGAGTACAACTGCTTTTTTGGTGAAATCATGTGTATACATCAAAGTTAACAGATTACTGTCACAAGCGCATATATATACAGATCCTCTCCCTAGCTGGGATAACTGTGGACAGTCTGCCATAGTCGTCTTTCTCTCTTTCTCTATCACAAGTGAGAATATTAATAGCACTCTTCTATGCAGACCATATCATATTCTCCAGCCGCACAAGAATGATTCTTATAGTTGCTTAATTTCCTGCCTTTAGGACCCTGAAATTTCCCGTGTTCACATTTGGTTGCCATTTCTTTCTGATCCAACAGCATTCCTTGGAAGTTGAGGCTTATGAAGAAGCATTTTGCAAAAAGTTCCACAGGAAAACTCAAGTTCCTGGTGCACAGTTGGACCATGTTCATTGCGTGCAGCAGAACCTTGTTCCAGGGGTGAGTCCATTTTATGTTTTAACCATCAAAGGGACGGGCATTATGACTTTTGGGCACTGAGTCGATGGAGGGAAGATAGCAGCCGATGATGACCTTAGGCACTGACGTGTATGTGGCCAGTGTCTATAGATGGATTTGGAACTTGAAGGTGCTGTTCATTCTGCAGATGGAATTTCCAGCACCGAATCTCCACCACGCAGCCACTAGCACTTGGCAGACGCTCTGTAAGAGGAAGCCCTTCACTGCCAATCACAGCCATTACACGGGTGAAGGTGAGAGAGACTTTTAATAGCTATTAACTCTCAAAACAAACTGAGGAATAAACTCAGGTTCACAAAGTGACTTTGAGGGAACAGCCTGAGGAAGCAAGTTAATTAGCAGCAGCAGGTTTTGCCCAGAGCAGGAGGAATCGCAGGATCAGTGAGGACCTAGTGCTACCATGGTGTGGAGGTGCTGTGAAGCATGGTGACATTCAAGAAAACCTGTTCTCTACAAACACCTACCTACCCACAGGCACAGCAGACACCCCAGCTATGCCAAGGGCTCTGTCTTCCTCTAGAGTAAGAGCCTGGTAGCAACCACGTGTCCTCTGAAAGGCAGGTGCCTCATCAGTCAGCTCTGCACAACTGAAACAAAAGGAAAACTACCAGAGAACTTTCCAGAAAACAATCAACCTGCTTGTGCTGGTGCATTGATGGTGACCCAGGATCAACGGAAGTAACAGAAGCTTAATTTCCCCATGGCTGCATGATGGACACTGGGAGGGAAGTGTGGAGCCAGATTAACCAGCACTCTAAGTGGCTTCAGCCCCAGGTAAGCAGGAACAAGTGATGGGGCTGAGTCCACTTGTGTCTAATCAGTCCCAGCCTCAGCAGATGCATCCTGGAGACCACCAGGGAATGTGTGTGCTCAGCCCCTCCCAGATTGCTGAGCATAACCAGGAAATTGCCCTCCGCACACCTGCCCGCACCACATACCTACCTGCACCACACACCTGCCCCCAGCTCCTCACTTACAAGACAATATCAAATCAGACACGGATTGGTCTGGGTCCCAGATCCCCTCAGGTTGCCGCCGTCCTCTCAGATCCCCACACAGCAGACTCTTCCCCTCACACTCCTGTTACAGGTTACTCTTTTCCAATATGATGGGGGTTTGCTTTCACTCTTTCTGTATTTTTTGTATTTTCATGGGTAAGCTGAGCCCCTTCTACCTGGTCTTGAGTCAGGCAGGGGCCACACGGAGAAGAGGGATTCCTCCCCTGGGGCCAGCAGCCCATGGATCAAGGCATCAGGGACCTGAGCAGCAGGTTCTGTTCCTATGCCTGGACCCAGGAGGCCCCTGAGCCTCCAGCAGCCAGTATGGAGCAGCCACCAGAGGGGCAGCAGAGAGTCGCCTGGGAAAGCCACCTGGGGATGGGGTGGGCCTGGGCATCAAGGAGATGCTGACATGCAGAGAGGGACAGTGACCATGACGTGACACCTGGAGGGAAATAGGTCCTTCTTTTTCTAGAGTATCATCCTTGACACTGATGTAAAAATTCTAGAATCAAATTTTATCTTCAGCTCTTGTAGATGCTCCTATTTCCCTGACAAAGGTCCAGGCACTTGCCTTCCCCACACACCCTCTCCTCACACACCCAGTTGTGCTAAAATGCTGTCCCTGTCACACACACTGTCCTTCCTGAGGTTACACATGTCCCCCTCCCTGCCCTATGCCCTGGGAGTCCCTGTCCTGTAGACACGGCAGCTTCTCCGTCCCTGGCTGCACCCCATCTCCACTGTCCCTGGGCATTCCCATCTCTCTCCTGGGAAAGCTGCCAAGTCACAGCTCTAGATTTCCTTGTGAGGCACAAAATAGTTGCTCATTAACCTTCTGTTGACTTAATTAAGTTTTTAAGCCCTTGATTTGTTTTCCCCAGCAACTGAAGACGCCTTAGTCATAATAAATTCACTTCCAGGCGTCTTGCAGTTTGCTGACCCCTCTCATTCTCTCATGGAGCAAACATTTTCTTGACCTCCTTATCTGTCCCTGGTCCTCACAGCGCCCTGGGGACACTGGGGCACAGCATCTATGACCTGCCCTAGAGCTCACAGCCAATGCAGAAACTTACAGCATCCCATGGATCTTCCAACACTCTGTGTGCACTCGGCAACCAAGAAATTTTCTTCTTCTCTAGCACTGAGGAGCTGTGCCCTGGGGTGGGGCCTGTACCTATCCAAGGCAGGTGCTGTCACCTGGAGAGTGGGGACAAAGAGGGTCCTTGCATTAGGTTCTGGAAAGTGTCTTCAAAAATGGATTTAGGCATACACCCAAAATCTCTCTGACACAAATTATTTATGATCAGCACACATCTAGAGGCCTAGACCAAAATTCACCACCTCCCTCCTGAGTCAGGATGGAATGGAGGAGGGGACTGGGGACCCCAGATAATTTCCCTGTCACCACTGTGACTCTATGGCCACCTCCTGCAACAGTCAGGGACAATCCCATAGGAGGGGCTTCATATGTCATAGGAAAAACACCCAAAGTCACCTATGAGCTGTACCATGACCAAGTGAGCCCAGGAGGGGGGTTGAGCACAGGGTGGTATGGAGATATCTGCAGAGACTGTGGAACCAGTTCGTAAAGGAGATACTGTAGGCTGAGGGTGGGAGTGCAAGGCCACTCCTCCCCTTCTCTGCATCCTTTGGGGCTGAGCCCTTCTCTGGAAACCACAGATCTCCTCCAGCAGCAGCCCTGACTCTGCTGATTTGCATCACAGGCTGCTCTCTTCAGCAAGGGAATAAGAGAGGCCTGGGAGGAACCTGCCCAGCCTGGGCCTCAGGAAGCAGCATCGGGGGTGCCTAAGCCATGGCCTGGACCGCTCTCCTTCTGAGCCTCCTCGCTCACTTTACAGGTGCTGCCCTCAGTGTCCCAGCCACCTGCCCAGTCCCAAGGCTCTGGGTCCAGCCTGGCCTGACAGTTACCTCAGCAGGACCCTGCCTGTGGTATGCAGGATGCTCATGATCCTGCTGCAGGGGGAGGGGCTGCTGGGGGTGAAATGTCCCCATACTGTTCTTCTGTGCTCATGATCCCCTGAGGACACTTTTATTCCTGAAACTCAGGCCAGGCAGGTGGGAAGGCGTTCTTGGGCTGAGCCCCTCAGTTTCAAGTCTATTCTATTCTCTCCCCTTTTCTTGCAGGCTCTGTGGCCTCCTATGAGCTGACTCAGCCACTCTCAGTGTCAGTGGCCCTGGGACAGATGGCCAGGATCACTTGTGGGGGAAACAATATTGGAAGAAAATATGTGTACTGGTACCAGCAGAAGCCAGACCAGGCCCCTGTGCTGGTCATCTATGAGGATAGCAAGCGGCCCTCTGGGATCCCTGAGCGATTCTCTGGCTCCAACTCGGGGAACATGGCCACCCTGACCATCGATGGAGCCCAAGCCAGGGATGAGGCTGACTATTACTGTCAGGTGTGGGACAGCAGCACTGCACACAGTGACACAGGCAGATGAGGAAGTGAGACACAAACCCTTTCCCCATCTGTGTCACCCTCTTTCTCTAATTCCAGGAGTACTATGAACAAAGCCATAAGCGGATCTGGTTCAATTTTCTTCAATCTCTGCCCCCAGCCTGTCCCTCCCTCCAGTGCTTCAGGCGGGGTCTGCAGAAAGTGCATCAGAAGTTCATTTAGGGTGATGTGATGGACTGGCGTTTTGGTGACTCAGCTGTGACTTGGGAAAATAGGGCCTGTATGGAGTATCAGACTGACGTAGACATCCACAGTTGGCTCTGGATTTCCATAGGTGGTGACAGGCCAGTCCTTGCCCCAAATGTCCTAGATCAGTCCCCAGAACTGCTCAGCTCAGGCTCCCGTGGTAGCCGGGGCAGAAAACAGACTCCTCCAGGTTTATGCCCTGCCTCAGTGAGGTTAGGTTTCATGACTGCCTGAGGCCAACATCTCAAGACTCTGCCTCAACATAGGAGGACCTAAAAATCCTCCCAGTTCCACAGCTCCCTGTAGGAAACACTGAGGCCTCAATGAGAATCAGGGTCTCCTGCCCGGTGTTGCCTCCCTTACCTCCTTTCACATCCTCTGTGCATGCAATTCCCCATCTCAGAGTCTGCTTCCAGGAAACCCAAATTAAGATCACCAGCCATCCCCAATATGGGGCCATGCGGGAAACTCAGTAGGCCACAGTACACTAGAAAGCATCCTAAATTAGCATTGTAAGTATCCACATGCCCAGGGAGATCTGAGTGTTTCTTGCATTTGTATGGAATGAAAAGGGAGCCTGACTTGCCAGGTGGTCTGGGTTCTGAGGGACAATTGGAGTCAGATCTCCCCGCACAGAAACCCGGGGCATGAGGAGCAGCCTCACCCCATGCAGGGACCACAGATGCACCCACAGGGGGAGCTGCAGGATGGACACTGCCCACCTACATCCCCCACACCCTGTGCAAAAAAATCATTCTTTCCACCCCTCCTTCAGCCTATCCAAGTTGACACTTAAAAAGCCACCACAGCCCACGCTTGTCAACAGGAAACCCATTCACATTTCCATCAGTCACACAATCTCCACAGATTCTTCAAAACATAACAGTAGCCATGCAAGGTATAAAAAATGTCTCATAAATAACTGTACTTAGATTACATATGAAAATTATACTCTTGATATACTAAGTAAATAAAATATATTATTTAAATTCATTTACTTCTTCTCTTTGTATGTCTAACGTGGTAACTAGATAGTGGGATTCCTATGAGGCTCACATCATATTGTGAATGAACAGTGCTGGTCTGCACCCCTTCAGGTTATAGGGACTGTGGAGTGACCTGGTGCAGGAAGCCCTGTCTCCATTCATAGGTCATCAGTGTGAACCCAGGGAGAGGTGCTGGTATAAGAGAGATGAGAACCCAGGGGTGAACCACCTGCTTGTGCAGGGGACTGAGCCTTCACTTTGAGCCAAAGAAGTTTCCTTTCCTATCTTCAATCCTGAACAAGAGGACTTTCTAGACATCTTTTTGTTTCCAGGTTTGTGCCACTTCAGGTTTGGGGATGGCTGGATCCCAGCCAGGGGACACTGAGAAATCCAGGAGTCTCACACTGACTGTTGTGGTTCATCTGCTGGGGCCATCCCAAACCACTGTGTACCATTTCCTGTCCTGGTGCTCAAATAGCTGCTCCATGCATTTGTCATGGTTTCAGAGATGAATCCAGGTGGGAAGACAGGATAGTGTATGTTACAATATTTAAATAGAACCTGAATCCCTTAATAGTTATTTTAATATGGAACATTCAAAGAGTTGTGTCATAGGCAATGGGAAAAGATGAAGAAAATTAAAAGCATTGTGAGGAAAAAAACAGAAACGTATTTATCAAATGTGTGTGTGTCTTCAGTGTTGCAGGATTGAGAACGGTCAGCTTTAGGTTGCCCTGAGGATGTGCTTAGATGGGGGAAAGCAAGAAAGCAGGAAATATGCGTCTCTGTGACCTGACACACAAATCACAGTAATGGAAATCAATCTTTCAATAAATCAAACATTCATAATAAATATCACTCTGGTACACACAGAAAGGCCTGTCAGCAAACTTGCCCTTTGTCCTGCTGGGTCTTATCCCCATGGATGACCAGTGTGCAGAGTGGATTCTGTGGTCCCCATTTCTCAGGCTGAGAACCAGAGGGTGAGAAGGACAAGTCGCCTGCTTGTGAGTGGGAAGGACAGGATTGGGAGCAGCGGACTCAGACTCAGGACCGCAGCCCTAGTCGGTGTTCCTCGTTCCCTCTACGGGGACCCTCCCACACGTGCCCCGTGTGGATGTGGGCGCACTGCCTGGGGCGGCTGATGTGCTCCAGGGATTCAATGCTGCAGATGGTTCAGTACAAAGCGTGGGGGTGGGGATGGGACGAGGCTGCAGCTGGGGAGACCAGAGACCAACACCACCATAGGGTGGGCAGCCCCATTTCCTGAGAATAGAACCTGGCAATGGGTGCCAGGAAGAGGGCACTTCGAGGTGTGCCCAGGCCTGGAGGGTCACAGATACAGGCACCACACAGCAGAGACGCTGAGGGCCAGGAGCTCACTCAGGTGAGGGGCTTCCGCACATCTTTCTCTCCTGAGCAAATCACGTGCAAAGAAATCAACTTCCTGTCATCAGAATAGACAATCAGGGACTTTAGTCTCCTCAGCTGAACCCCACTGTCAAGGGAAGCAGAAGTCTCTGAGCCCAGGCCCAGGTGAGGGTGGGGTGAGGAGAGGAGCTCAGGACACAGATTTGCATGGAGGCCCCGCCCTCCTCTGAGGCAGAGGGGATAACACAGGGCTGGGGGCAGGCCCAGTGCTGGGGTCTCAGCAGGCGGCACTCTCGGGACGTCTCCACCATGGCCTGGGGTCTGCTCCTCCTCACCCTCCTCACTCAGGGCACAGGTGACGCCTCCAGGGAAGGGGCTTCAGGGACCTCTGGGCTGATACTTGGTCTCCTGCTCCTCAGGCTCACCTGGGCCCAGAACTGACTCACTGGAATGTGTTTCTCCCTCTTTCCAGGATCCTGGGCTCAGGCTGCCCTGACTCAGCCTCACTCAGTGTCTGGGTCTCCTGGACAGTCGGTCACCATCTCCTGCACTGGAACCAGCAGTGACATTGGTGGTTATGACCGTGTCTCCTGGTACCAACAGCACCCAGGCAAAGCCCCCAAACTCATGATTTATGAGGTCAGTAAGCGGCCCTCAGGGGTCTCTGATCGCTTCTCTGGCTCCAAGTCTGGCAACACGGCCTCCCTGACCATCTCTGGGCTCCAGGCTGAGGACGAGGCTGATTATTACTGCAGCTCATATGCAGGCAGCAACACTTTCCACAGTGGTCCAAGTTCATGGGGAACTGAGACCAAAACCTGCCCTGGGCTCTCAGGTTCCCTTTTTGTTCTGAAGATGCTTCCTCAACTGGTGCAAGCGGCTTCCTGTAGCACGGCCTTGACAATTCTCAGCTCCTCTCCTTCCCCACTATGAAGTCCAAAAGAAAACTTGCACTGTGGTTTCTCTTCTGGGACAGTTGACAGTTTCCTGATGATTGTGTGTTGTGGTCCCTAAATTGCAACTCTTCTCAGCTCTTCAAATGCAGGGGACAGTGACAAGGAGCTGTCTGATTCCCTGCTGTTTTCAGGAACATCCTCATCCTAAATGCATCCCCGCCTTCCTCGCTATGCAGACCAATCTGGACAGAAGTCATTAGAGGGAGTTTCCAGAAATTGCATCTTACTCCACTCTGTGTCCTCCATGCTCTTATGAAGATGGCCCTCCTGGCTGGGCTATTACTCTGCACCTCTGTCCGGAGGCAGTGACCACTGAGGGAAGATCTCAAGATGTTTCTGAGAAATTAGTAACAAAGAGGAAGCTGTTGTTTTTCTTATTTCTGTTCCTCCTCTTTGCCCCAATACCTCAGGTTGCTGAGCTAGGAGATTTTGAGTGGCAGGCTCAGTGTTCTCTCAGAATCCCCCTCCCCTCACATCACTGAGCCCCTGTCTTGGAAAGGCCCCACATGTGGACGGTCTCCCCATAGAATGGGAGATTCCCATGTGGCTCTACAGGGTAGAGTTAGCCTGAGTCCATTCTTTCTTCCTCATTGACATCCAGCATTTCTAATTTCCACGGGCATCAATACTTTTGTAACTGAAACCTTTATTAATCTACTAATGGTGATAATTTAGAAAATATTCAGACATGAGCTGGATCCAATAAATTTTCTGAGCCTGTTATTAAACATAACTATTATTATATATATTTTAGGTTTCACAAACTTCAAATAAACAGATTGTATTAAAAACAAAGTAACCATTTTACTATATGTGTATCCTATATCATCATGTTGTGTACCTGAAATATGCGCAATAAAATGTGTTTCAATGACAGAAGTGTATTCATTGCCTGTTGCTGCATGAAAGTTACTCCTCATACTCAGCATGTTAAGAGCACATGTTTGTGATCGTGTCACTTTGGTGCATCTAGATTTTGAGAGCAGCTTGGTTTGCTGGTTCTGGCTCCAGATTGGTTATGAAGTTGCAGCCAAGCTGTCAAGCAGGGCTGCATTCCGAGACCAGAGCAGGTGACCAGGCTCAGCCTGAAGGGGTTCCACTGTCCCTAACCTTTTTGGCAGATGTAGATCAGCTCAGGGTATAAGGAGAGAGTGATGTGTAAGGCCCCTGTCTGGTTCCTTTATGTCAAAGACCATTCCATGCATGTATAATTTTTTCTTTCCTCAGACATCCTATGCATAGAGCCCTGTCCCATTCATTCTACGCTGCAACATATTCCAAGGCAGAGTTTAAGCCAACTATCTTCTAATGGTTATCACCATGATTTTGATCTCACAAGAAACAGGGCAGTGAACACCTCTATGCAGACTCCTTGTAGCTCACATGTGCATATGACCATAGGATAAATTTCTAGAAGTCCAATTGTTGGATCAAAAGGTTGTATGTTTGTAATTTTCACCCATTATTCTCAGATTCCTCTCCAGCGGTGTCCCACCAATTTATAATGTCAGCCATAAATATTTGATCAGAGTACACTGTTGAAACTTTACATTTTGGCCAACCCATCAGATTGAAAAATGTTATCATGCTATTGTTTTATTTTTGATTTTTCTTCTTCTGTTTTGGGTTTAGCATTTTCTCAAATATTTCAGTGGTCTTTATTTTACAGAATTCAGTAAACTTTTTCTTAACTGCCCAGAGGAAAATGATTTTAGTCTTAGGGGTCACAGATAGTGGCTCACAGCTATAATCCCAGCACTTTGAAATACCAAGGTGGGCAGATAGCTTGAGCTCAGGCGTTTAAAACCAGCCTGCACAACATGGTAAAACCTCATCCAT